GAATAAAACGAAGTAATTAATTCACTCCCAAGAAACTGAATGGAATCCGTGAATCTGCCATTTTTCAGATGTCAGTCCACAAAGAGGAAACCGATTTTCACAAGAAGAAACGAACTCCCCGGCAGCCGAAACAGCACGTACAGAAAAGAAAACATGGAGACGATTAAAAGATAAACTTTCCGAATCCGGGGCCAAGACAGGTACCGTTGTTTGTTCATTATGTTGCACGCAAACATGATCAATTTCTCTCTCCTGTTATGAACAATATGCACAAACCTAAACCCTTTAATTATTATTTTCATTCTTTAAATTATTACCATTATTAATAATCATTGACGGAAGAACTTGTTTAAGGTCAGTTTTTGATGTCTGTGTGTCAGTAACAATCACACCTCATGGGGTTTCGTTTGTTTCATTACGATTCAGGAAAAGTAAATTTTCATTAATTTAATTCAATGTTCTTATTAATTCCATCTACAGGAACTTCGGGATGGTCCGACTTATGCATGACAATGTGGAGTTACAAAACACCACCTGTTCGAGAACGTAAGTCCGAAGTCATTGATCCGCATTATCCTATGCATCAAACTGGTTATAGGAAATGAATTTATGAGGGATGGGTGAAACAGGATGTAAAAAAGAACAGATCTCTTCATTGCATCACGCTGATGTTTTGGGGTTTATAGCTGTGAAAAGTTAAAACCTTAATAAGACGGCGACATTTTGCGAGCCGGTGGCGAGATTGAAATCATGATGCTCCCAAAAGTCATGGGGTCCCCGATAGTACTGCCTTAGCTGCTGGGGGAGAGGTATGAGTTAATGGGTATAGGGATGGTAATGGCGGTGAGGGGGAGACGATTTATTTTCCATGAGACTTCCAACCAGCTTTCGGACAGGTTAGCACCAAGAGTGATCACATCTGTGGTAGAACCTCAACCTAAGTGTTATGGTTTATTTCTTACACTGAAATCTCGCTGATTTACCTTAAATGAGTAAAATTTGAGGTGTTTCCGTCACTTTTGCAGGTTAGCCACAATTACCTAGTAACCATTCCCTAGGGTATTGCAATTGATGGTATTTTTTGTTATCTCCACTTGCCCTCTGTGAATTTCAATGAAAATGAATCCTGTTAAACACTTGATGATATAAAATCTGTGTTACAGCAAAGTTCGACGTTGTTCACCTATTACTCACGGCATTTCCATTTCCTCACTAGTCCATCACGCGCAGTTCACCCTCCAGTTATGACATCTTGAGATAGGAAGAATCTGGTCGAACGGTCCACTTGATAACAAAGACTTCGAGATTACTTAGCTGACTGAGAGAAAAAACCGCCACAGCCAAACTCAAGAATGCTTCCACCAAACTGCACGATGAGAGGTTTTGTTTCAATTATTGAACGAGTCAGTGAGTGATTAAATGAAACAGTGAAAGAGTGAAATTGAGCAAATAGCACAGGTTACAGAAGTTGATGTTTAACTTGCTGCAATAAATATTGTTTCTGGGATTATTCTAAGACTTATAAGTACATCAGCTGTATGACGGATTTGAGTAATCACATTCATTGCAGATCGCTGGTTGGAGTGAAATGATTTTAGCCGCACAACTACTTTATTCGATTCAATTGCGATTGCTTCTTCAGCGGACCTTCTTTTGTTCACAACCCCACCAATGCGTACATGCCTCTTTGATCTAAAACTAAACCCTAGTCAACAATTCTTTCTAAAAACAACCTTTTTTAATCGGAGTTCCTTCACTATTCCATCCGAAATCATTTCAGTCTCTCAACGCCGCTTTGGTTTACCCATCAACGATTCTATTTACATTCAACAGTTTACTGTGAAACGTTACAATCTTGTTATCCTGAAAATGTTAGTGGTTACAGATTTTGCAGCTTAAATTCTTTGGACTTCCATGGCGTATGTGAAGGAACTAACTGGATTCCTGAGAGGTTTAGCTTATTGGCAAAGCATTGTTCATGAATTTCCGATTGAGGAACGAACTTGTACTTATGACATCTTCCGTTAGTGAATTAAAAACTGAAGTTGCTATCATAACTAGCAATAGTAATAGCGATAGTATTAGCAGCGGCGGTCATAATTCTTGTGGAAAAATTCAGTCTGCAGAATATATCCTAAACTAGACGCGCTTTAAACAAGAAACTGTCAGGTTTGATATAATCATTTGATGAAAATATTTCCACTTGTAATTCTGATTAGTTGTAAGAAGCAAGCTGGTCCGTTGGGGGAATGATTTACCATGTTTACCTAGACAAATGAGAAGGAGATATTGCTGGTTTTACAGAATACAACAGCCAGAAAAGCAAAACGAGTGCTTAATTTGCTGGCTCAAATCCGATGAACATCGGAGAAGTACACTACGCTCAATCGGTATTGCCAAGAATCTTGCGGTCCTATTAGCCTTGGCAACCATGTTGCGTTGCTCCTAAAAAATTCTATTCGTTTGAAACAATCATGGCAACAGGGTGACCGAATTCTTAGGGAGGGCTTTCCATCGGATGAAGTAGGTGAAATTTCCCACTCACGTGAGGCAGACGCTGCATTAAAAAAATACTCTTCGTTTTACCAACAAATAACAATAGGCGGGTACATGTGTCACGAACCATCACCTAGACGGGAACCTCACCGGTGTACAACCGCTAATGATTTACTGAAATGTACTGTACTTCTATCAAACTTTGACTGAATTTTCCCATGTCACGAAGTCACAAATCGACGACTGGGTAACTGAGAGCCTTCTACGGAACAACTGTTTTGCACAAATAAAATCGATCCATCGGCTACATGTTTGCAAATTTCATCGACAATTGAAGAACAAAGACTCACATCTACACTATACAACAGAATGATACTGGAGATCAAGACAATATTGTATGTTCCTCTACACTCGTCTAGTGTATGTAGCTGATAAATGTTCAAAAATTATTTAGCTGGTTAGTGTATTCCAGTTGTATGTTACCCGTGTATGCGAGACTTTTAATTAATTTAGAAGATATATTTGCACTCTCACTTTGAAAAATAGCTCAACTACCATATATGTTGGAACTGTTACTGTCCGGGGATGCAAAAGTAATTTCCGAACGGATTTTTGGTCATCTTCGACCTGAACTGCACCTGGGTGAACAGCTGCGGGTGAGTCTTTAGTGACTGTAACGTTTTAATGAATGTTGAATATCCTCTTTATGAATGCCCATTCATGCACTTTAACCAGCAAGAAACTGAGAACTACTCAGGGTGTGCAACTGATCGATGGGATAACCAAACAAAAGGAATTTGCTACAAATGAGTTTGGGAGTACAGAAACCTACTGCGAGGCTACTTGATTGGCGGGCAATTTATTATCGCTTTTATGATTATTATCGTACTACTATTCACAAAATCAGATCTCCCATTCCCAACCTAAAAGTTTGGAATTCGAGTCTCGACGGACAGAACACAACTCAAATGCTGTCTGTCGGTCATCATAAAGAATTCTATCACTGTCAAAATACATTAAAAAAGCGGAAAATAACACGAGGTAAAGTATTGGATTCGATTCTCTGCACCCTAACCTATACCTGGGGATTTTCAATTCTGGTGAAACGATTCAAACACAGTATTATAAAAACTGTAGTTGAATCTATGCTAAAGTTTTGTTCGCCAGTTTTTTTCCTTCAGAGTTCTAATTTTTAGTATCTGCTCCATGAAACCGTTGGGTAAAACAACTGCATATCTAACAAGGAGATGATTGAAATATGATGAAACTATTTTAAAGTTTTGGTTACACAATGGTTTGTCTTTACGTAGAATTCTAAATTCGCAGGGAAATTATGAAGGCGTGGGACAGCAACACAACAGCATTAAGATCATTTTATTTGTTCACTACTGGAATATACCAAGTACTATGCTCACCAATCTGACAGTTTTTATTCAGGCCTGGTCCACCACAACAGCAAAACGATCCCTTAAGGAGATGATAGTCCATGCCCAGCGCAAGAACTGA